ACATACTTCCTGAATAAACGTTTACACTGAATGGGCTTGTTAATTGTTTTTTTGAACACCTCCCCCTCGTATAATTTATCAAATCTGGTGCGAATTTCATATACGAGGGCTATGCGCCAAGTTTATGTTCGCCGAGATAGGCGATAACATTGCAAGATGGTTGCCTTCCCATTTTTTCGTGTGATAATATGGTAGTTATGAAGATAACTAGAGTTTATTTTTTTGTATTGTTTTTCTGCGGTAACCCTATTAATTTCAGGATTATAATTCAATTTTCATTACAAATATAACCGTTCACGTTGCATTTGTTCTTTAATGTACTATTTCAGTCTTCTGTTACATTCTGTGCTATATTCGAATATGGATATACCTAATATAATTGGCGACAACATTGATATTTGTTTAAAAAAATGAGTGCCATGATTGTGTAATTATTGCTATAATCTCACATTCCCCACTACATTTTACTTCTTGATAATGCTTTTTGTACAGTCCTTGTTCAATGAAATGCATGAAAGGAATTTTCAGTGTTTATAGTACCCAAAGTTATCTCAGCACTTATTAAATGATAATGATCATTAATTCTAATATATATGTAATTATTTTATAATGTAGATAAACAATTGTAATTATTGTATGGACATCGTTACATCTAATTATAATGTGTATAATAACAATTGAATTCTATTATACGATACGATAACAGAATTACATAAATTCTTTTTATTGTATTACATTGGTATTGGGTTTTTTATAATCTATTCTTCATATGAAAATTAATACAAAACACTTCACAATTACTTTTCTGACGATTTTTTACCGTTTGGCAGCCATCTTGGACTCCATGCAACTCGACAACAAACACTGCTTGGCACGTAGCACTCCTATATCAAATTAGTTACCAAATCTTACTTGGATACCATTTAAAATCATAAAAGCATTTAGAGATATTAAATGTTTGGAGTGCCATCTCAATATGAAACTATTCCCCCGATCGTAGTGACACAGCTTACTTCATACAAAGGATTCTCTGTCGGGAATTTGCGATCAGAACCATATACAGGCTTCAATAAATTCGCAAAGTATTTGTTAAATTCTTAGAAGTGTGCATCTGCGATCGAACGGGTAGTTGAAGAATATTGAGATATGCAGTTAGAGCCAACAATGACGCAGAAAGTGTATCTGAAAAGACTTACCCAAACTAGTAATATAAAGGACATTGCGACAAGAAGGACAGCAATCCACAATGCTAATACTTCCGTAAAAATAGAAACAACTGCAAGGCTAATTCCAAGCGCGAAATTAAAAAAGAATAATTTCAGTATAAATCTTGTAGCGAAAGCACCATTATTCGGCTGAAAAAGAAATTCAAATATATAAATGATTAGAGATTAATACAACATGTGCAAGAGTTTGAAAACAAGCTATTCCAAAATCTACGATTTTTACCTAATATCGAGTTAAATTTTGACGCGATTCAAAACTTTTAAAGCTCTATAGAGCTTAAAAAAAAGCGCTTTTATTCACAAAAGACAAGTCTTGCACATTTAACTTCACACTACACTCTTTAAAAGTTGTACACAAGAAAAATTTTAGGACACTTTGGATAGTGATGCTTATTACTAAATAGTGCCTCGACAATTAAACATGTCTTTAGTTCACTTGTAATACTCTGAACAAACGAAAATATTTAGAAAAGTCTATATACATGCAAATCATATGCTTCGATGTCAATTTTCAAAATTCGATTTAAGATTAATTTTGGACGAGTACCTCAATATACAAAAGGCAATAAAAATTTCTCTTACAAGGGGAAGGCGAGACTAAGGAATATGAATTCGGGACGAAATTTGGTACAATAGTAGTACTCCGTTGGGATGTTCAACCCTCAATGTATTAACGACGAATGGCCAGTCGATTTTGAGAAAATAGCCTTCGAAATTTATGCTTAGCTTTTATACAATTAAATTTTAAGCATCTCCAATGACGCACTGGAATAACTGGCAAAGCACCTGCTTTCAGCGTGGATGGATAGGGTTTGAATCCCCGTGATAAATCCCCCCCCCCAATTCATTTTTTAAAATTATATAGAATTTATTATACTAAAAAATATTTTATACGATTTTGCATTTTAAAAAGTAAAATATTTACCATAATTTATATAAATATTTATATAATCTATAAACATTTTATTTATTAAAAATATATATAATAAGATACGTAATAAGTATTAAATGATATTTTATATAAAGAGTAGTTACAAATTGTATCATAATGTGAAATACAATACATCACAAATAAATTATATAATATAATACAATCTATAAAATGCCCTATTCTGACTAAGAATATTTATAATTATAAAAAGCCATTTTTATATTGTATTATGAATTTAATTTTATAAATATATAATATTTATTAAGTCCTTTTTAAATAAAATTTTAAAATAAATGAATTTTAAAAAATGATTTCGTGATTCGAACCCTATCCGTATGCATAGAAAGCAGGTGCTCTGCCAGCTATGCCACTGCGTCTCTGGAGATATTTAAAACTTTATTCTAAGAAAACTTATTAAGAATTTCGAAGGCCATTTTCTCCTAATTGACGGTCCATTCGGCGCTAATACATTGAGGGTTGAGTACGCTAAGAGAGAGTACCACTATTGCACCAAGTCTTGTCCAAAATCGTATTTCCTTAGCCGTGCCCTCCCCTTGTTAGATGCATAGTTGTAGCATAGCACGAAAGGTTACATGACGTTTTAAAAAATCTCACCGAGAAGTTTTAAGAGAGATTTAAAAAAAATTTGATTGGACTAGTTTATCAGATTACTGTAGAAGATTTGTATTTAACGTTAAGATTTTATACTTATTTAGTAGAAAATTGAGAATAAAAACTACTCGATATAGTGCAGACTGTTAAGTATCTGAATGTGGATTCTAGTTTAACCTACAATACTGAAATTTTAAGCCGATTATTTGAATTTTTGAAAAAGGAAAAAAATGGCTTTAAATAGAACACTCAATTTCAAGTTTACATATGCATTAAAAGGTCACGTTTACTGTTTTTATTAAATACTTATTTCAGAGTTAGATTTGATAAGTTTCCTTTCAGCGTATTACTAAAGTACTTGACGAGTGTAATTAATGTATCAGAAGTTATTTAAGATCGGTATTCTCAACGGAAATCCGTGTTCATGACTGGTCAATTGGTGTATTAGATCCATGCTGACAATTATCTATTACTCCACATTGCACGATGTATAAGTGTTAAAATGCAGTACTATTCAACAGATATTTTTAAAATAGTTTTACTTTTAATAAAATTCGACGGAACTACAAACCGGATACTTGCCATACATATAATATATAATCACATAAAAGGAAGGAGAACCCCTCCCCCCTTAAAAACGATTTACTTACATGTGCACCGAGTCTTTGATAACCAGTATGGCGAGTACCAGAATGCATTGCTGTACTAGTTAACGAAACAAAAGAAGAAAAATAAATCTGAATGCAGATTCTTAAGAACGTGTTTGCATTTTCGTTTATATCAAGGGTACTTATGCGCAGATAACTGAAAATGAAATTACGGAGTACCATCAACCGATTGATAAAAGGGATGGAACCATTTGCGTTACATTCAGTTCAGTTCGGGACAATACTGTATAATTGGAGACTTGGCTAGCGCCTTATGCTCCGACAGAATTTGATGAATATAAGTAAATTTAGGATATAATTGGCTTATACTTTAGGAACTATTGATTGAGAGATATTTTAGAGTCTATTGGTTGATATTAAGAATTCTTCCACTTTTTAGACATGCTTTATTGTTTAACAGTTCGCTATTGATGAATAGGTCCATTCTCGTTGTAGGGAGATAAAAGTTTTCAAAATTTTTCGTTGTGCTTTGTATTTGCTGGTTAATATGAAATGTTCTCTTGTATCTGGCACTTGACATTCCGAAAACAATGAAGAATCTGTTTGTTTAAAAAGAAAATAAATACCATTCGATGGTAGTTTTTTTGCTCGCATCTTATTAATGGAAACCTCTGACTTTCTATTGTTTTCTGCCTGCGTTATATTAACTTAATTTATATTAATTGAGGTCACAGTCAGAAGGAACTAGAAAGTTCTTAGCGAAGGATCTTGTAATTTTGAACCATGGTCAAATGACGAGGACGATACGTGTACCGACACCCTCCTTTCCGAACTATCATATAGAACCATTTTGTGAACTTTGACATATTTAGTGTGTATCACCTCCTCTACATGACTGGTCTTTAGTGGCCCTAATGTTGGAGAGATGTAGGAAACCTTTATTAACGTTATATTGTAGGCAACAAGAGGGCTTTTGGCAGTGGACCTCGTAATTTTGAACCATGGTCAAGTGACAAGGACGACACTGAGATGGCGTGTTCACCTCTCCAAGCTGAGTCAATGGAAAGACATTGAACCTCAACAGATTTAAAGTGCATCTGCCCATCTACTTGTCGGGGGGTCTTCAGTGGCATTAAGGCTATGAGGACTAGGCACCCTAAATAATCAAAACATCGTTTTTCGCATTTTTATTTAATTATATTCTTTGCATTATTATCTTACGATTGATGTATCACTTTTTTATGCCTGAAAATTAGAAGTTGAAAAAAACTTCAATTAAAAATTGTATACAAAGTAGGGAACTCTACCACGCCCACTTTTTAGATAAAAAAAAGCTAAAAAACTTTTTGATAAAGAAAAACTATTTTAAAAAAAAGGAAATAACTAAAACAAGCAATATAAAATTTTTTAAAGGCAATACCTATTTAGGTCAAAAAAGAAGAATTTTATTTTAGTTTTACTTTTTATTAAATAATTACAATTAATATAAATATGTATATTCATATGACAGAATCACAAAATTAAGTGTCAAAATAGAAAGCAATTTTCCTTTCTATATAAGGTGTTGAACTATTCTGTTTATTAATATTATTCATTCGTAAATCACATTCTCAGAAATTAGGCCATCCCAGGTAGAACTCGAACCAACGACCTTTGTATTGGATGTCCAACGCGCTATTCATTGCGTTACAGGGACACGACTAGCGATTTTTCTTTTTATATATGGCGTTAGACTATTATTTTTGTTTGCTACTATTTATTCATTAATTAAATTTAATTAATCAGTTAATGTTTGAAAAAAACTGTAATTACATCAAGTGTCATCCACTACAAGTTTAAAAAAATGTATTTGAACTTGAGTCGATGAACAAAAAGTATTTTATAAAGGATTGAAAATTTGAGCAAGATATACACTCATAGACAAAAAAAATTAGCGCACCAAGATATAATTGCAGGATTGTAACGACACTTGTCATGGAGGTACATGTTGGGGAGATATGCAAATGATTAGAAATGCAGCGTGATTGCGCATTACGCTTAGCCGGTAGAGGGCGTTTAATGTCGTTCTCCGTGGAGTATAAAACAGGTAACCAAAGCTTGTTTCAGTGTGCTGAATCGTTTAAAAAGGAAGCGCTGAGGTAGACATGCCATTACGCCGTTTTCAAAGACAATATGAGCATCTGTCGCAGTTTGAGAGGTGGATAATCATCGGCTTGATGGAAGCTGGGTAGTCAGCTAGGCGAGTAGCTCGTCAATTAGGCCGTTGTGTTGTGAGTAGGTGTTGGAACCAGTGGACCTGAGAGATGTCATTTACACGAAGACCAGGCTCAGGACACCCTCAAAAAAGCAGTCATCGAGAAGACCTCCACATCGTAAGAAATGCACTTGTACAGCCAATTGCTTCAACTGCCATAGAGGCACTGGTGGCACCTTCACTGGGAGCCCCTGTGTCTTCTAGAACCTCACGAAGGCGCCTGACTGAGATACATTTGGGATCACGGTACACATTACGTTTGACGCCCATCCATCGATGCCTCCGTTTGGAGTGGAGTGGCACACGAGAAAACTGGACTGCAGCGGAATGGAACCTGGTCGTCTTTAGCGACGAATTCATATTCAATCTCAGCAGTGATGACAATCGCGTTCGTGTCTGGAGACCCCGTTGTGAACGCCTCAAACCTGCCTTTACTTTACAGCGACACACAGCTCCCAGAGCTTGTGTGATGGTATGGGATACCATTGCCTACAATACACGGTCACCCCTAGTATTGATCTGTGGCACCATGACACCCCAGCGGTATGTCAATGACATCCTACAACCACATGTGTTGCCACTCATGCAATGGCTTCCATGAGCCATTTTTCAACAAGACAAAGCTCGGCCTCACAAGGCAAGGGTGTCACAAGACTGTCTCCGCACTGTTACTACCCTTCCTTGGTTTGCCCGATTCTCAGATTTGTCTCCAATCGAATATAACTGGAATCATTTGGGACGGCTAGTTGGGCATCCCACGAGTTTGAACGAACTAGTGGCAAGGTTACAGCAAATATGGAACAAAATGTTTCAAAATATCATACAGAACTTATATGCATCAATGCCCGATCGTATCGCATCATACATTCGCGCTAGAGGGGGCTCAACAGGGTATTAAATCCTCCATTCTTTGCCTTTTTCTTTGAAATAAATGATAATTTTTCTTTGATTTTCTACTCATTTGCTTATATCAAAGTAGTCATTACGTATGTAAAATTTCGTTTCATTTTGACGACTCTTTCTTGGTGCGCTAATTGTTTTGTTCTTGAGTGTATATACAGTCGACTCTCGCTAATTCTAACTTTCGATAATACGAACCACTCATTAATTCAAAGTACATGCTCAGCATCTAGAAAAACTCTTGATATTTCGAACTAAAACAATACGTTTGGAACAATAATTCAAAGTAAAATTTGTGGCTGACCAGACTACAACACGCAGTAATTTGAAGTTATCTTGTAAAAACTCTCCACAATTTGAACACTTACTGTCTATAGTCTAATAGCAAACAGTTTTGAGCTTTCATGTTTTGTGTTGTATTGTCTCTGCGCGTCTCCCTTGTAACGTAGCTCCATCTTTGTGTTTCCCTGTCCCTCAGGCGAAAAGACATTTTTTTATTGCTTTTCTTCTTCAAGTGAACAGTTCTATCCACCCATGTTGTCAGCCATCCATATGTTTCGCTCAACACGTGGCCTTGCTGCTCATGTGTTCAGAAAGAATGGTCCGCTATTGTGATGGGTAGGATTGTGTTTTTTGCGTGAAATTGATATAACGGTTTATAGTTCATCAGCGTGACTTATAGCATGTGGCACCAAATAGGGCATGGGCCAAACTGGACCTTGCCTTGTAGAACCAGTGGTGTTGGAGTACAGTGTCTGAGGGAACCGGATGCGAAACGATTTCATTTCTAAAGAGGAATAGAAGAGATTTGGTGGGGCGTGAAAGATAATTACTATATAAATGTATTATTTTAATACATGACAACTTCTGTATAACATTCATACTGTATAATATGTATTTTTTTAAAAAATATTAAATAATTTTTACATATGTACAATTGTTGATACATTACATAGTTTAAAATTTAAATGTGTTAGAAAAAAATTCAGGAGTTTTTCTTACTTTCTTGATAATTCGAAGTTTTTCACTAATCCCTCTCTTCAACTTTGAATTATCGAGAGTCGATTGTATATATATAGGAAGACTGTGAGTTCTGATAGTAGGTATTGAAAAAAAGTGTTACAAATAAAGCAGGATATTTTTGAAGTATTATGTCAATATAATTTTTTTGTTCTTTTGAGATGTGTGCAAGCAAAAATTTTTAGTTAAGTCATTTTGTATTAAAAATTTTATAATTTCAATTCATATTCATCATACGTTTTTCATAAAAAATATAATATTTCAGTGTTATGTGAAGCAAAGAACTTTAAAATTCCTGTTATAACAAAAAAAATTTTTTTTTAACATTTTCCTTGAGTTTTCATATGCAATTAATAATCTCTAAAAAGGATAGTTAAAATATTAAAATAAAATTAAAATGCTATTATTTTTAAGAAAAATATATGTGGATAATACCTTAAAGTGATATTTTATTTTTATACATGTATTTAAGCCTATAATAATTAGTTATTTATAATTATAAACTTTAGAACGTTTTTTCTCAGTTTGCGTTTTTTCGCATTGAAAATGTTTCTCCTACCGCAATTACTTACCGATTCCTTGCATGTTTTTCCTGTTTGTTATATATATGATGCATATAACAAAATTAGGGATCTATTTTTCTGTTTACTTAATACTTCTTTCAAAAAGAATTAAAATGTAGGATATTACGGCTTTTTTGTTGAGTTTTAGCATGCATATCAACATTTTATTTCTGCCCCCTCCAAAACTAATTAAGTAATTGTAAAATCGATCTCTCTAAAGTTGTTAAAAAACATTCCTAGGAATATTACAAATAAAATACAAGTCAAAAATTAATAACTACAAAAGAAGTAAGATTTTAAAATTTTCTAAATTAAAAAAAAAAGTTTTTCAAATTTTTAAAAATATGCGAATAATATGGACAAAATTTCGTGTTGAATATAAACGTTATATGAAAGGCTAAAATATTCTTTTTAAATACAAAAATAAAAAAATAATTGTTCAATTGATGCCAAGTATCCTTATGCTAAAACTCAGGACACTCCAACAACGACTCGATGATCATAACTACTATATTACCGCAGCCACCACCAGAGTTAAGGCTATATCACACGTAAATTTTTCGCGCAACATTTTCACCCAATCTGAAGGTGAAGGTTTGGCGTAAACAAAACGACATGCTCTGACGTCAGCCACGCTTTTTCTCCACATTGAAGCATTACTCGCCAAATTTTTCTGCTTCGAAAACGACCATCCAATATTATTTCTTTTATTTCTCTCGCGCTTTTGTTGATAGGAGTAAGCAGAAAAGGAGTACAATTCTGTTTAAAATATTATACGCCATATATGATGCGTTTGATGAAACCGAAGCTACATTCTTAACTACCATCTTGTTTATGACGCAGGGCGCCGAAGAACCCCATTGGCTTGAATTTCAAGCAACTTTATTTGGAGCAACCATTTTCAGCTCACTGGGGAAAAGTTGCTCGGAGCTGTTGCTATGGCCACTAGTAGAAATTGTTCGGAATTGGGTGGAAGATTGCTCCAAACGTGTATGTGTGATAAGGCCTTTAGAACTCTTGACTTGACAGAAACAATACCGTTCACTAGTTTGCAAGCACAATCACTCGGCTATTACAACCATTTTTGCCTTGCGTTACAATCATTCATGAAGTGTTTTTAAGATTTTGCTAGCAATAGAAGTATAGTAGTGGAATAGGTACAATTTCTTTCGTTGCCCTATATATCCCGTAAAATCATCAATCAATAGTAGTGAGATAAGGATAATAGCCTTGTTGTTCAATACCCCCCAAAACCATAAATTGTAATGCAGTAGTAAGATTATAAGGTTCCTTGATGATGGCTTGTGGAGTCAAATCTCAAATCCTATACAAATCGTCCAGCCCTGTTTTTGATAACGATAAATAGTAAATCGAATTGAAATGCAATATTGCTTTGCATGATGCAATGAAAGGGGGAGGTGCTAAGTATTATCTCAAGTATTGTCTTTGTCAATTGATTATTATTTTTGATACGAAAGTTAACCATTAGCCTTCAAAAAATATGCGAAAGGTTGTAGAAAATAGCAAATTGAATAAATTGAGGTACATTGTGATTTATTTCCCTGCATATTCTAGAATTTATAACCTGTAAAGAAATAAAAAACACCAAAAATTCAATATTCACAATTTGATTTATTTAGTAAAGATCATGTTAACTCTCGAGCTTTAATAACTATTATTCAAGAACAGTGTTCTGAATTAATAAATTAAATTAAAAATGAAAAAAAGACCAGGAGGTCCGAAAGAAGATGCATGCAGCATAAATTTGCCAGGATATTTCACATAAAAAGCTAAATATATTACCTTAAGTCTATCGAAATTTATTAATGGTGCACTTGCAAATGTCTATTGAATTCAGTCAGTGACAAAAACAGAACAATAGTGAGGAACATATGAATTCCTCTAATTATCTGCAAAAACTTTCAAAGGGAACTACCCCCCCCCCTTTATTAAGCATAA